AAAAAAAACTCTTATATTCATGGAAGATATAATTAGTTCCAATTGTTTATGTTCCCATTCTTAAAATGATAATCAAAACATAATGTTTTGACCACATGAGTGATTAATACCAAGTCATTAACAAAATGTTAGGCATGAAATGAAGGAATCGAAATTACTATCTCTCCTGTTCAAATCCAGAAACAAATAAAAGAAAAGAAGAAATTTTAAAAAGGTTATTTTACACTATATTCTAAAAATACATATTAAAAAAATTTATTATTATAAATTTATAATTTTATATAATATTATAATTATGTCATTGTTAAAGCAGGTCACATTATGAGTTTGGTTATCAGAGATTCAGAGGCATCATTTAACGTGAGCTAAGCAAAACCCCGAGTCAACGGAGGCCAAATCAAACCCATAGGGTGTGTGGAAGGAGTATCCATTGCCATCCACTGGACCGGTTCGGGGAGTATTGACCCAGTCTCCCTCCCCCAAATATGCCAAAATAGTGTTTGTTCTACAAAGATGTCGACAGAGGCTTGGTTGTTTTTTCAAATTTTAAAGTCTACTTTTTTACAAAATTGATTTTTATTTTAGAATTTTTCTTCAAAGACCCAAACCAAAATCCAAAAGTAACTATCGTATTGTAGATATTTTTTTTCCCTTCCAAACAGTTCCAAAATCCTACAGTTTTCCATAGAATATGGTCTCAAAACTTTGTAATTTAACAACCTTTCTTTTCCATTGATCTTGATCTGCACTTGGATTGTACGCAAACAACATAGCATGATCAGCGTCCCTGCTTGCGTCCACTGTCCCATGAAAGGAAAGTCAGATCAAGCAAGCAATGATACATGAACTTTGAAAAATCGTAGTGTAGATTAAATCAAATTGGATTGCATGCTGCCATTGTAACAGAAATTTGCAGACTTTTTTTCCTATGATTTGAAAAGGAATAGGTATTCTGTTGGAATGGTGCCCAATATCAGGGGAAGGGCTTAAGACCAAACTCAAAGTAAGTACAAGCAATGGCCCCCAGGAAAGTGCACTGCACGAAATTGAAACAGAACAGCCAGTGGGACGAGTTCAAGTGTAAAGGTGTCATTAATGGAGATATGAATACTCCACAACTACTATCACTGAATTAATTTACTCACTCATTGAGAAAATTTACATACATATGTGATTTAAAAGTTAATATTAATTAATTTTAAATTAAATATAAATTTTATATTAAATTTTACATACTCTATTTTTATATAATATCAAACCCAACCTTCATTAAATTCATAAATTATTACAGCTTTGAAGGTCAAAGTCTCTTCATTAAATTCATAAACTATTTACCAATTTGAGGGTGAAAGAGTCTTCCCCGAAAATACCAACCTCAAGTTTTGCAAGATATCTCAAGATAGGACCTAAAACCTCTCCAACCAGCCAGATGGTCAAAATTGAGAAATGATTTTTGTGTAATTTTTTTGTTATATTTTTTTATATAATTTGTTTATCTTATTTTTTTATATAACTTAACGTATTATTAAAATAATTGATTTTTTTAATTCATATAAAATTTATGATATTAAATGAATCTACTCATTTAATAACATGTAAAAATTATATAAAAAAATAAGACAAAAAAATTATTCCTATAACACCATCTGTAAAAATTAGTCTCTACAAATTTTGCTTGAACATATTCCTCCAACAAATCAAAGAAAGAATATATACGAACTATACTCAAGATTAAGAATGCATACACCATCCCTTTATTATTATTTAAATGTAAATAATTTAAATAAAATATGCTTTATCTTTTTTTGTGTAATACTTATAAATAAAACATTATACAAATACTTATTAGATTAATTGGGCATAAAGACCAACTCCATATATTATAAAAAATAAAAATAAAAATAAAAATAAGCCAATAATGCAATCAATTTACAAATTTTTACAAAATGTAAAATGCACCTGGGTCAAGCTTTATTTTTTTATATTTTGTTTCTAGAACCTAATATTCCAAAGCTTCACCATGTAGAGTGGGTGATGAGTATTCCAACCACTCAACCAATGTTTGATTCCCCGTCCGGTGACCCCACCAAATTCCAAAACATTATACCTTAGAAAAAAAAAAAAGCCTCATTACAAACACACAAACATTTTAAAGCTTCGTTGATTTAATATCTTGCTTGCTATAAAAAAAAAAAAGAAAAAAAAAAGAAATAAGTTGTTTGATTTAATATTATGTTCACACTTGGCTGATAAAGGAAGGAAAGGAGGGGGATAAGATGAGTCCAAGCATTCGAGTTAAACTAACTCCAACTAAAACCATAGACTTTGCTTCATATATATTTTAAACCAATTTTACATATATTCTAATGCCATGATCTCCGCATAATGTTGCCTCACCATATTTGTTACACATCTTTTTCATTAGAGACACCATTGTGGTTGGTTTTAAAGGTTGACCTAACATAACGACTCATTTTTATAGATGTTAACATCACTAATTACATCCGCAATTAATTGACGAAAGAGATGATGGAATTCACAAATGGGAGAAAACCCCAACTTTGGTTTAGTAAGGGGAAGGGGGAAGAGTCAAAGTGGAGTTTGTCAAAGAAGGATCTTGCAAGGTAATTGCAGATGCATATATGGAACAAATAAGCCAAAGTTAAGAAGAGGGTTTTGACAAATCTAAGTAAAGTTGTTTTAACTAGTCAAAAGATTCCTCGAAGAAAAAAAGAGTCAAATGAAATAATTTTACATGCTTATTTATCAAATACACATTGTTGAGTTTAACTACTATATGATTGTCTATTTTAATTTGACTAGTGTTATATAAAGAAAGGAAAAATCATTACAGAATAAGTCATAGTTAATTTTGTTTGATAAAAATTTTTATTTAATTAAATAGCATTATATCTATTATAAGGAGAAATCGACTACGGTCCATTATTATTATTTTTTTAATTAGCGACTATGGTCCATGGTCCATAGATAACCTTTGTGATTAAGCAATATAATGTTACTTGGCGGCCGAAAAAAAAAAAGAAAAAAGAAAAAAAGAAAGAAATGTTACTTGTGCCAGCGTCAAGGGGAACCAGCAGGGTCAAAAAAGAGGGGGTGAAACAGACTATCTCCTTATATCAGTTCGAAGAATCTTGAAAAATTAGCCTTTGAGGCCCACAGAAAACCAAAGGCTGAAAAAAGAAATGCTTGTGCTGAGTAATCTTCCTTTTAATGATACAATTTTTCCTTATTCTAATTTAAACATTAAAGTCACTTGAAAATATGGTGGCTTGTCGCCCATAATGGGAACCTCAACCAAAACTCTTGCCTCAGAGAGATTTCCAAAATTTGAAGAAACTAATATATACAGGACAAAAAACTTCTGGACCTAATAATATACTTGTATTGCAAAGTTTTTGTCGTCATGTGGTATCTTAATTATTTTTCTTCAGAAATGCCGTCCTTTGATATCTAATTGTACTAATTTAAGCATGGGGAATGCATAGACCAATAATACCTCATGAAAATTGCCTAGCCTTGTGTTATGCCATCAAGTGGTACTAAAACCTTACAATATTAAGGTATGAATTTATCTTCCCATGTGACACCATGACAACCATATTATCAATTCACGCAATATGCTAAAAACATGATAGAATATATTTTGACACAATAATGGTAGAAGAGGTCCAAATATCATAATTGACAT